TAGAGCAGCGATTCTCTGTGAAGGGGGATGGGGGTAGACTAGGCTCCCTGGGGGCATTTGGCCACGTCTGGAGATGACTTTTGATTGTCACAAAGGGGCAGAGGGCTGCTAATGGCATCTAGTAGGTAGAGGCCACATGGGCTACTAAACATCCTGCGAGGCTCAGAACAGCCCCTCACAGCCCAGAATGGTCTGGCCCAAACGTCAGTAGTGCTGAGGGTGAGAAACCCCACTCCAGAGGGTCAATGTGAAGATTAAGTTAATCCACATGCTATGCTTAGCCCTGGGCCTTACACATAGTAGGTGCCCAACAAAGCAGTGTCACTCTCCACGCTTCTGCAAAGCCCGGTCGCACAGTGACTGTCTCTGGGCTCCGTGAAGGACTCCAGGGTGTTTGCCCATCACCACGAGGCCCCATTCTACTGTACGTCTTTAAGTTGTGTACCTGTCTGGTAGTGACAGTCAAATTGATTTAAATTATTGCAGATGGGGAGTCAGATGACCAAATCCATGCGAAGTATGTCTAAACCCATGAGTAGGATATAGGTTCTCAGAGAAAATGTGAGGAGCCCTCTTCCTGGACTTTGTGTGCGGACGATGTGGCATCTATTCTGACCTGTCAGGTGCCTTTTGCCGCTGTCTGGACTGCACAGGCTGCTGGGAAGTTGCTTCCAGACGACTAGGGGGCATTGGAGTACATCTGTGGTCAGTACCGTACTAGTGACTGTGGCGGAAAGGGTCCCCTGTCACAGCCAGTGCGGACAGTGGGGATGCCTTGCAGTAAAATGTCTTGATGTGATTGCTTCTGAAGAAGAGGATTGGAAGGATCCGGTTATGAGGGCTTGGCTTCCCTTACAGGTCATTTGCTGTGTGTACTGCGAGTCTGATCCCCAGCTGGCTCAGTGACTTGGTTTCCTTGCCTAGGAAGTGCAGGGGGCAGGGTCTCCGGCCCACTGTCTCTGAGCCCCTCTCTGAGTTCTACAAGGACCCCGTCCTCGTTCCCTGTCCTCTCCAACCACACACGCCCTGGAGTTTACAGTGGCAGCAAATCTTGTTGTTCTTCCAGGCAGCTTTTGTAATAGATGTCGTTAGTTTTATGCAGCTTCAACTTAGTATAATTTGCATTTTAAATGTTTGGTTTTTGAAAGACCGTTAAGATTGCCATAACTTTACCAAGTGATTTGCAAGTACCAGAGCCTGCCAATTAACTCAGATGCCACAGCAGCGACTGCTTCCCGTCAGAAAGGCTGAATCACTCAGAAGCGCCCAGCTTTCCAGGGCCAAGTGATTCACCAAGCCAAGTAACTTTGCAGATTGGGATGAGGAGCGTAGGCTATGACTTCCTTCTAGACTTCTTCCTCTTCTATTGAGTTAGATGTGGACTCTCTAACAGCAACTTGCTTTTTTCCAAAATAATATGCACTTGTAAGAAGTTTAAACTGTACATAATAACGTAAGATAAGAAGCCCAACGATCCCTCTGTTTTCCTTCCCTAGAAGGAACCACTCTGAATGGTTTGGTGACCATCCTGCAGATACTGTTTGTACACTATAAATTAATATATTTTTTAAAAAAAGAGACTGTGTTTCTATAAACTTTTGCAACTTGCTTTTGTCTCCTAGCAATAGCAGGCCTTGGAGGTTTCCCTGTTTGTATATATAGATCTGTCTCATTTTTAACAGTGACATTGGTTTCCATGCTATTGTTACATCAGAAATGAGCTAATTAGTCCCCTCCAGTCTAAGTCTTGGATGCCTCCCAAGTTTGATCCTAACACAATGACTTGGGTGCTGGCAGGCTGCGGGGAAGGTGATCCCGAGAAGCCACGGTCAGGGAACAGGGCAGGGAGGTGGGCCACTCCAGGGACGTTTGGTGAGTGGTAACTGCAGCTCAGGAGGTCCTAGGAGCGCCGTGAGGCTCAGTGCTGCGAATGGTTCACACAACTCAGAAAAGTCGTTATACTCGTTACAATTTATTACAGCAAAAGGACACACACGGATACCAGCAGAGGGAAAGGGTGTGCAGGGCAGCGTCAGGGACACTCCAGGCCCAAGCTCCCAGCTGTGCCCTCCCAGGGGAGTCCTGTGGGTGGCACGGAATCCTCCCAGTGACAGAGTGGCAGCATGCTCGGAGTGGTACCAACCAGGGAAGCTCACGCAAGCCTTGGTGTCCAGAATATTGATGGGGGCTCAGTCGCAGAGGCATGGCCGACCGTCCAAGTGGCTCACCCTAGTCTCCCACCTCTTTCAAGGTCAAGTTGATATTGAGTAGCCCAATAAATCACACTCTAAGGTCCCCACCATAAATCGCACTATAAGCAGAGACTAGTGTGGCCCAGGCGGAGAGTGGTGGGTGCTGGTAGCAGGACGTCGTCCACAGAAGCCACAGGGAAGCCTGCAGGGCAGGCGGAGGGGCGGCAGGCACCACGGCCCAGCCACACTCCCTCATGGACAGTTTTGTTATTTCCATCTCTCATCCTTATATTCCAGCGCAGGGATCAGCCGACATATTCGTAAAGGCCCAGGCAGTAAGTATTTTCAGCTGTAGGCCATGTGGCTTCTGTTGAAACTGCTCGGCTGTGCTGCTGCTGTGCAAAGGCAGCCGTGGACACGGCGTCCCCGGTGGGTTTGACTGGGCGCCAGCACAACTGAGAAGAAAGAGGAGGCAGCCAGATTCGGGTTGGAGGCTCTGGTTCGCTGCGGAAATGACGTCCGTCTCTGTTCGTCTGTGCAGATCATTCTTAGGGGGTAAATCCCTAGAAGTATCTGGATCACAAGTTATGACGTTTTTATTTTGAGTAGATACTTTGCAGGCCCCCCAAAGTTGAACCACCTTCCTCTTTATCAACAATGCATGAGAGTGTTTTGAGATTTTTTTTTTCTTAAAGCCCCTCCCCCAGGGAAGCAGAACCTGGACTTAATTTAGTAAGATGTTTCTGCATTTTCATTGCAGCCTTGGTGAGGCAGAGAAGAGACACTATCTTGCCCCCAGGGAAGAAAACCAAATGGGGTCTAAAATGGTCTCCTAATAATACCTTGCAAAATAAATAATAGTATCTTGCTTTAGATTCGAGGCCCACAGAGAAAAGGGGACTCTGGTAACTTGTTCTTGTTCCGTGAGACCAAACCTAAGCTGCCCACCAGGTGCGGTTCCAAACAGTCCTGGGTGTCACCTAAAAGTTGAAAAAAACAACCTTTTTCAAACACACCAGAGAGTTCCTTAGCAATTTTCCTTATTAAGCAAAGATTCCTTCCTAATTTTTACGTAAAGGAGGTCCATCTGGGCATATTGAACACTTTACCCAATGTACAAAAAATATACTTGGTCCAGCTTTTGGCCTTGGAGCTGACAGGTGCGGGGACACCCTTGATGGAGACACACAGCGTTTCACTTAGCCCAGTTCCCGCTGCCTAGTTCACGCTAAGTCTTTGTGGTTTTTAGACAGTGGGCGAGGTTTTTGTTCTTGTTCCCTTCCCCCCATTTTTATCTTTTGGAATTCTTGTTGTGAACCCCAGAGGGGAGAACAGAGGCTCGGTAGCATTCAGGCTCTGTTTGGGGGGGATGCATGTCTTAGCCGGTTTATCTGATAATGGCTTCCCTCCTGGGATGCAGCCTGCCTTGGCTGGCCTCACGCTGGGTGAGTCGGTGATGTTCCCCGGCCTGCAGTCCTTCATGTCTAACGCAGACGCAGCCTGCTCTCCCGGTAATGAGACGGCATGCCTGGACTACCCACACATAGATGAAGAATTAGGCGGAACTTGGCTGAGAAGATAAATCAAGCTAACTATCTCATTAGGCTTGAAAGACACAAATTAAGCCTGCATTGGAATTAACAGAAAAGCCTTCCAAAGAGACATACAGCACAACAAGAGACAGAAGAAATTGCTGTAGCCATTTCTCTCCAGAGACTTGCCTCTGTCGCCTAGAACAGAGGAAATGTGAAGCCTCATTTTTAAAAGGTCAACAGATAGAAATACAGGCTCGAAATAGCAGTACGTTACATGAGTGCTTACGGTGAGCTACGTAGGCACTGTGTGCTGAATGTTTTACTCATCAGAACGCCACAACAGCTTGTGATGTAAAGAACTATCGAGATTGTATTGAGCTTCCGTGGCCAGGTAGAGTGTCATCTGGTTAGAGCATCTTCCCAATACGCCAAGGTTGCGGGTTTGAGCCCTGGTCACAGACAAGAATCGACTGATGAGTGCATAAATGAGTGGAATAATAAATCCATGCTTCTCTCTCTCTCTTGCCCCTTGTCTTCTGAACAAGGAGGAAACTGAGTTCAGAAGGGTTCCTTCGCTTGCCTCAGGGTCCCAGAGCTAGTCAAACGACAGAGCCAGGATTCACGTAGGATGTGTGGCCCCACGGCCCACAGCCTAAGCTAGTGGTTCTCATCTGGAGTGACTTGACCCCACTCCACCCCAGGGATAGTTGGCCATGTGTGGAGACATTCTGGGTTCTGACAGCTGGGGGGGTGGGTGCTACTGGCATCAGTGGGTAGAGGCCTGAGGTGCAGACCAGGCCCCACAGCCAAGACTGACCGAGCCCCAAATGTCAGCAGTGTTGCGACTACCCTGGTGTAACTACTCATCTGGACCCTGGTGATGGCTGAGTGTTCCACCAGAACTAACTAGTTATCGAGCTCTGTAGGCAGTTGGCAACGGGCTGTAAGTTTCAAGTTGCAGATTGTGGGGGCGGGGGGGTAGCTTTCCAGAAGAAAGAACAGCCAATGCAGAGAGAGGCTGGGAGGCAGGACGCGCCTGGCATGGTGCGAGGCAGCAGGAAACCCAGTGCCACCGGGACAGGGAGCCTGTGGGAGAACAAGCCGAGGGAATCAGGGAGTTCTCGTCATTCAAAGAAACACGCAGTGTCCTAAAAGCAAGGACCCTGTGTCTGCAGTAGACGAATGTGTAGACTAATGGCCTCTGTCTTGTTCCTGCCTCCTGTTCTGTTCCCCTCACCCTCCCCACCCCACCCCCGTCCCCGTGGCTCTCCAGTGTTCGGTCACAACATGAAGAGCAGCAACGACTTCATCGGAAGGATTGTCATCGGCCAGTACTCCTCAGGCCCGTCCGAGTCCAACCACTGGCGGCGGATGCTCAACACTCACCGCACGGCTGTCGAGCAGTGGCACAGCCTCAGGTCCCGGGCCGAGTGCGACCGTGTGTCTCCTGCCTCGCTGGAGGTGACCTGAGGGCTGCAGGGAAGGCAGGTGTCGTCTGTTTTGAAAAAATAAATGAGAAAAAAAAGGAAGAAAATTTAAGACAAAAAAAAAATGTGTCATCTACCTGTTACATCCACACTTGCATACACACTCACCACACACATACACGCACACACACCAGAAATTCTCTCAGAACTGAGAGGAAGCTGACTGTTGATCACGAATGGCCACTCTCAATGAGCGAGGCCTGAGAACTTTCTGGAAGCCCCATCCGTATGCCACAAGCCGAGCTGGCATTGCTGTGAGACTTACTGGCAGTGCTCGCTGTGGTTGACGTCCCCCCCCACGCACACCCCAAACGCACTTTCAACCTTCAGCCCAGAGGACGGGCCTCCGGAAGGGTGCCGGCCTCCATCAAGGAGAAACTGCCCAAGAGTTTGGCCGATGTGGGGGAGGCCTGACCCCCACGCCCAAAATGCACACCCACTGGGTGGCTTTGGAACAGGCTGCTGTTCCCTGGGGTTCTTTGAACCTGATACCTTTCCTCCAAAGTGTAAGTGCTTTGTCTTCTCCTTCGTGGACATGATAAATAGATTAGACTATTTGAAGAACCAATCAGCAACAAAAAAATATTCCAGTGTAAGAAACCTCTCCTGGCTTAACCGAATTTTTCCCCGTGTTAGCCTCTTCCTGGGCACTCCCTGCGGGCACGTATGTGGACGTTCTCGTGCGTGTGCCCTCACAGGTGGACGTGTGTGAGCCCCTGTGTCCTGTGGTGAGCAAGGCAGTGGGCCAGGACCCCAGTCCTGAGCATCCCCTTCTCTGCCTCTCACACCAGTGCAACTTCACCCAGTGTCCGCTGTCTGGCAAGACCCACCTTAGTAACAGTAGATGTCTGTCAAGAAAATAGAATATGATAGAGCAAAAGCAACATTTTTTCGACCAAATCATGGGGATGTGACTCACAGAAGACCTATACAGGACAGTGACATGGATTCAAATGGCCACCGCACCCTCGTCCAGGAGGATCTCCTGCCCTGTCACACTCTGAGGAGCTTTCTGTGTTTCTGTGTGAACCAAAGTCATCTCTCTTGTGCTAAGGAATTAGCAGAGTTAGAATAGCTCTCTCTATTGGATGCTTCTGTGTCTTTTCCCACAGCCTATTGTCTGGTATACTAGGGAGCTATTTGTGGAAATTAAAGATTATTTATTTGTGCCATGCATTTGAGTTATCTTTTGTCTTCAGGAACACAGGGCATAGAGCGTTGGAAGGGGGTTTCGGTTACTACTGCTGTGGAACCAACCATCCCGATGACTCAAAGCACCGATATTTATTACGCTCGTGGATTTTGTGGGTCAGGAATTGAGACCAGACACATCAGGGATGGCTCGTCTGTGCTCCAGGCTACCTAGGCCCTCAGCTGTCGGTAACATTAGAACGTGGTCTCAGAAGGAACAATAGTCGGAAGCATTAAAATATGTTAATCTGATGACTGATAAGAGAACCCACACAAAGAGAAGCCAAGTATTTAACCCAAACTAGTTTCAGTGACAAAAGAAGCTCCCCTTCAGGAGGTCGTCTGGGCTGTGTTGCTCACTCTTCTCTCCTGGACAGGCGCTCTCCTCGTGCAGTGAACTTCATGGTGACCGGCAGCCTAAGAGTCCCAACTCACACCCATCATCAGGATCCGGCTTAGATTGTAACTTCTGATTTCCAGGACAGATATAATTGCTCCTTGCTGTCCTCCCTACAGCAAGAACCTTCTATTTCCAGTTAACTCTTATAATGACAACTACCATTTATTGAGGCCTCACTGTGTGTGTGCTACACCCAGTAGGTGTATAATCCCATTCAACCTTCACAACAACCTTTTGATGTAGGAGCTCTCGTTATCCCTTCCATATGAGGAAACAGACTCTTTCCTACTACAACGCTGCCCATTTGTTCGGGGCAGGATCCATGGCTACGTAGCTTTTTATTGACCAGGCCCAGCTCAGGGCTTGACCCCAGTAAATGCCCCTGGGCTGAGATGACTTCACTCCTGACCACGTTGAGCATTGCAGGGTCCTCTTGTGGCCCCTGGTGTCTCCCACTCTGGAGTGGAGGTGGCATGGAGGTCAAGGGGGAAAGGCAGGGGGCCTGGGTCTCCCAGGGTTACGTCTCTCAGGGTAGGAAAGGAGAAGGCATTTTCCTTTTCTATCAAGTGGCTCTTACTGAGCATGAAAGTATGAGAGAACAAATAGAATGAGGGGAGACAGGTGTAGACCGGTACATACAGGCATCAGGACTGGAGTTGAGGTAATTTAGTCATTGGACCCTTGGGCTTTGGAGCCGAAGAAGTCATGGTTCAAATCCCAGGCCCACCACTCCCTCACTGTGTGCCCTTGCCCAAGCCTCTGAACTTCTCTGATCCTTACGCCCTCATTCTCTTCCTTACAGTATCTCAAAAGCAGCCCTTGAGGCAAAGACTTGAGTGCAGAGAGTTCATTTGGAAGGTGACCTCAGGAACAGAAGGCTAATTCAGGGAAAGCTGAAAAGTAGAGGGAAGCTGCATTAACCACCCCTGTGGGCAGCGGAGGCTCAGCCCTGCTAGGACCCATGGAGAACACGAGAATTACTACAGGGAAGCTGAAGTGTTTAACTACGACCCTAGCCCTCGGGTCTTGAGGGTTGCCCCTGGAGGCACTGAATGTTTGGCACTTTGGGACCGTCCTGTGTGGACTGAGCAAGCTCCCACAGTGACGAGAAATCCCAGGCAGAGAACGGGGTGCACATGCTGAATCAGGGAGGTGTGTACGTACACGGCCGGGTCCACCACAGCCACAGGGAGACGCAGGTGGACTGCGGACTACGAGGTGGAGCGTGCCCAGCATCCTCTGCTCCTGACAATGACAAGAGGGCTGGCCAACGGCAGGTGGAGTGCCAAATGTCTGCATCGTCCTCACATAGCAACTCCTGTGGGAGATGGTGTTCCTCTTTTAACGAAGGAGGAAGCCAAGGTTTCATGAGATCAAGTGGCCAGTAAGTGATAGAGCTAGAATGCCAGCCCAGGCCTGTCTGACTCTAGAGCCTATTTTGGGTTGCACTGTATTCCCTTAAAAAGGGTATGTTTGCCCTGGCTGGTGTGGCTCAGTGGACTGAGCGCTGGCCTGCAAACTGAAGTGTCACCAGTTCGCCAGTCAGGGCACATGCCTGGGTTGCAGGCCAGGTCCCCGGCTGTGGGTGTGTGAGAGGCAACCGATTGATGTATCTCTCACACACTGATGTTTCTCTCCTCTTCCCTTCTCTCTAAAAATAAGCAAATAAGTAAATATATTTTTTAAAAGGTATGTTTGTGTCCTAACCCCCAGGACTTCAAAATATGACCTTGTTTAGAGACAGGGACTTTACAGAGGTCATCAAGTTGAAATGAGGTCATTAGGGTGAGCCCTAATCCAATATGACCAGTGTCCTTATGAAAATGGGAAGTCAGGACACAGACACCGACAGACACACACAGGGAAGGTGATGCAAAGAGACACGGGGAGAAGACGGCCATCTACAAGCCAAGGAGAAAGGCCTGGAGCAGCTCTGTCTCTGCCAAGGCCTTGATCTCAGACTTCTGACCTCTGGAACTGAGAGAATGAATTTCTGTTTTTTAAGCCACCTAGTCTGTGCTGTTTCTGTTGCGGCAGCCCTAGGTTGCTAGTCCAGAGCTGGTGCGGATAACCATTCTTACCCCCCATGCTGTTGACAGTTGACATGAGGATTAGCCACGACGGTGCCTGCCAAGTTCTAACGCACGGTACTGGAAGTCTGCTCCCACTCAGCACGCAGCAGGCAGTGGTGCTGGTTGACTAACAGGATGGGTAGGACAGATGTCAGAGCTATCCACATCTCCAAGGCTAGAGTCTGTCAGAGACAGGAAAATGTGTTGAAAGGTGAAGGAATGACTTGGTTTCTATAGAAACCTGGGCCCAAGGTGCCCTGTTGTGGGCTACCTACTCATTTTAATTAGCATCCTCCTCCTCAGCTAGGAGATGGGACGAGAGATGCACAGGCCACCTACACACCACCTTTGGGGCGCCGGGACCCCAGTTCAAAAGGAGGTGGGGTAGGAGTGGTGGCATGAAGTTTAAAAGCCTTGTCTATTTACCCAGGGCCAATCCTAAGGTCCTCTCGTGTCTTGGGACTCCAGACCCCTCAGGATTCCAGTCCAGCCCCCGGCACTTGACAGAAGCTCTGACCTCTGCCCAGCCCTGCTCAGAGGTGATGGGTCCCAGGGCACCAGGAACAGCTCTCTTGGAGCACAGATATTTCATTCCCAGACAGCTGGGAATCACTGCAAGTCACAGAAAAGATTCTTTCTGGGTGGACCGTCTTCCCATGGCCAATGGGATACCTGCTCGTTTCCATGTTCAAAAATACTATTTAAAGTAACTCATGGTGTCCCAGCTTATATTTAAGTCTTTTATCCACCTTGAATTTATTTTGGTGTATGGTGTAAGTTGGTGCTCAAGTTTCATTTTTTTGCACGTAACTGTCCAGTTCTCCCAACACCATTTGTTGAAGAAGCTATCTTTACTTCATTTTATGTTACTGCCCCCTTTGTCGAATATTAATTGACTGTAGAGAGTAGGTATTAAATTAAAAAGACAACCAACTGTATGGGAAAACATATTTGCCAATGATACCTCAGACAAAGGTTTAATCTCCAAAATATACAAAGAACTTACATGACTCCACTCTAAGAAGACACCCAACCCAATTAAAAAATGGGAAAAGGACTTGAACAAACAGTTCTCCAAGGAGGACATACAGAATATCCAGAGACACATGAAGAGATGCTCAATATTGTTAGCTATCAGAGAGATGCAAATTAAAACCACAATGAGATACCATTTTACACCGGTCAGGATGGCTATCATAAACAAAGCAACAAACAACAAATGTTGGAGAGGGTGTGGGGAAACGGGGTCCTTAGTTCACTGTTGGTGGGATTGCAGACTGGTACAACCATTATGGAAAACAGTATGGAATTTTCTCAGAAAAATAAAAATCGACCTGCCTTTTGACCCAGCAATTCCACTGCTGGGATTATATCCTAAGAATCCTGAAACATCAATATCAAAGAACCTATGCACCACAATATTCATAGCAGCACAATTTACAATAGCCAAGAGTTGGAAGCAACCTAGGTGCCCGTCAGTAAATGAATGGATCAAAAAATTGTGGTACATATACACAATGGAATTCTATGAAGCAGAGAGAAAGAAGGAGCTACTACCTTTTGCAACAACATGGATGGAACTGGAAAGCATTATGCTGAGTAAAATAGGCCAGGTGTTGAAAGACAAATACCATATGATCTCACCTTTAACAGGAAGCTAAACAACAAAACAAACAAGCAAGCAGAATAAAAACAAAGACACTGAAATAGAGAACAAGGGGACAGTGACCAGAGGGGAGAGGGAAGGGAATTTAAGGGAAAAAAAAAGGGAGGGATTTGGAGGAACAAATAGGAAGGACACAGGGACAGGAACTAAGGGGGGTGGAAATGGGAGGGAGGTGGGGAGCAAGGGGGGGGGGCTGGGATGGGAGAAATAGACAAAAAACTGTACTTGAAAAATAACTAAATAAAATTTAAAAAAATAAAAAAAAAATAAAGTAACTCATGAATGATCACCGCTGTGTGAAAACTAAAAATGTATGACAAGAAAAAAGACTGGAAGGCATTGTCCTAAAGTAGGGGTGTCAAACTCATTGTTACTGGGGGCCACTTCAGCCTCACAGTTGCCCTCAAAGGCTGAATGT